ATTTATATCTGCACATGGTAAATATGCAATGGGCCTGTTACTGGGCCTATTAGTGGTCGTGCCTCACTGAACCTTGTAATTATTAATGGGCTGAGTGGAGTCCAACAAGAAACAACATATTTACCATCATTAAGGAAATCTTAAATATTAAACAAGTTTTTTTTTCTTTTCAAACGATAATTATATTAATAACTGGAAAACTAAAAAAGAGTACAATCGAAGTGTCAAATGACACACTGGAACCAGAAGACTGGACCAACCCTCTTGTTATCATACACAAAGGGGTACAAACTTCATTAAGGAGGCAAACAATCACAAAACAGAACTCCAAAAAGAGACTACAAGCAGACAAGCTGCACTGAAAGCAGACAAATCTGCACTAAACGAACTAAAACACTAAAATAAAAACAAAAAGCAAATCACACCAAATATATAAATAGAATAGGATAAGACCTCCCCTAAACCTATCGGACAACCGAACCCACTCTCAAACCTACAACCAAAAACATACTCCACATCAAAGAAACCAATCAATCAACAAATATAGACCCCTGACTCAAAAACTGCGGTCAAAATAGAACCGCCTAGATGGATCTGACAAGGATCGAGCCTCAATCTAGATCTGAACTTTGAAGGCCTTCAACATCGGAGAGAGGGAGCCATCACGAAACGTCAGAGGGATCAAAGACGGAATCCAAGGTGAGAACGCCCCAAGCTACCGGCAGCCGAGCGGACGCCCCACCCTGGATGTAGAATTGACGACCTGAGACCAATGTTCCAGCGAACCGGGAGGCTCCCGAAACTGGAAGGAAAACAAGGCGGGTCGGCGACCACCTCCAGAGCCGGGGAGAGAACGACACCCTCAGCTCAGAACACCCACAAAACTTCAAAAGGGGCAGAGAATAGACCTCCAATCTCGAATCCGCAAGGATTGGCAAAAGACCGGCGCGAGGCCGAAGGAGGAGAACGAGGCCGAACAACAGCCCCACTCCGGGCGAGCACGGCACGGCGGCGCTGCAACCTGGAACGAAGACATAGTAGGGCGGGGAGCACTCTTCCAGCCTCGGCCAAGGCCTAGTCGAGCAGGATTGGCCGCCGAAAGGAGAAGGGGGGGGGCACAAATCTGGATCTGGTTTTTTCCCTCTGCTTGTTTAAATAGTAAACAAGTTGTTCGTCAATTTTTGTGGCTCGATAAGTATTGAAACCTATAAAAAAAAGTGAAATGAATAAAAAAGGTTGTTGTGAACGAGCTTGGAAAGGCTTATTTAGAAAACAAATTCGATTGTCTCTTCCGAGCCAGCTTACTCAATTTGACGAACAAATCGAACTCAAACTTTCGAGAATTAAAAATGAATAAACAAGTTGTTTGTGAACGAGCTCGATAAGGCTCATCCAAAAAACAAATTGAATGATTTGTTCTAGCTCAGCTCGTTCAATTTGACTAATTAGTCGAACTCAAACATTCAAGAATTGAACCGAATATATTCAGGAAACAACTCGGCCGAATAGCACCTCTTTATTCATTATTAGTGAGTATAAACCATTAATTAAATTTGTTTCAAAGAAATAAAACTTCACATATCTTCTTCCCCCTAATATTTTAATTTAACTATTATATATTGCAGATTCATAGTTTTATTTTTTTCCTTTGTTCTTTTTATATATTTGGACTTTAGAGACCCTGAATTCATGCAAAAAAGTAGTAAAAACAGCTGGACCTCCACAGACTGATGACGCTAACGAATTTGGCAGAGTCCAAAAGTTAGTTACATTACAAACCTCAGCCCAATCAATCACCGTAGTCAACAACCTCCAAAGCTCACAAATTCGTCACATTGGATAAATACACCAACTTAAAAACACAATCTTTTTCGCTACGGCTTCGTTACGGAATTATTCCGTCGAGTTTGTAACCGTAGATCATCGTGTAATCGTCAGAAATAATTGATCTAACGATTACAAATCCCGACGAAATAGTTTTATAACAGCAGCGTGGCAATCGGCATCCCCTCACTTATATAGATAATAAAAAATTACTAAAATGTCACATATTAATTCTGCAATTTAATTTGCATCGACACATGTCGAGCCACGTGTCCCGAATTCCAACGATAGAATTTCCACATGCAGACATTATAAATCATCACTAATTCCATTTTTGTAAATTGTTATTTTGCAAAATAATAAGAAGAAGAAGAAAA